GGCTGTGAACCAGGGTTTGTCGTTGTTGTAACTCACCCTGGTGAGTTATAATTATATAATATCTAATATACATGTCTGAATATCTGCTTCACACTATTAAATGTTTGTATAAAATGCTTCGTATAATCAGTCGTAACCATATTTAACACAGATTTAACCAATCACAGTTTCCTGTGAATCTCTAAAACGTTGATCCATACGTCACCAACCAACCATAGACTTTACTCTCACAGGAACAAACGGCCTTTTAATTAATTATTCAATAAAAGTAATATTATTATTACAAAATAATCACAACTATTAAATACTAGTTTTTACTTCCTCAATTTTATTGCAAAAAAAAAAAAACATCTCAACATGCATCACAATCATTAATAAAATCTGCAGTGAAACCAGGAATGACACAACAATCCTAAATGAAACCTGTGACATCCTGCAGGGACTGGATGGGAGTTTGGTGTTTTGCTCAAGTGCAGCCCGGCAGTGGTCGCTCAGAGCTCAAACACCGCTCCAGCTGACAGTCCACACTCCAAACCGCGGTCCATGCTGGACTTGAAATAGCTGGAGGTGGCGAGTTACTGCACGGCGGTGAGAAAGTCCCACAAGGTCCGATACACCCAATATAATATTTATCTTTTATTTAGTCATTTTGTGTCTTTGCTGCTGGTTATATATTAATCATATAAATAACCTCAAAAAGAATCACAATCAGCCCACTGGGAGCTGAAACATGAACACTTGGTTTAAACATCCATGTAGTATTTTGAAATGCATTCAGCATCCTCAATAACCCTGGAACCACTCAGTCCAAATCAGCCAATCAGCTGCTGAGATATCGTCCATATAGCTGATCATTAATGCTAATGATGCTAATGATGCTAACTGTCCAACATATGCAGGTTAGCATCCGTCAGTGTAACAGCTGGAGACCCAGACTGAACAGTTCTAACATTAAACTTTATACCAAACCTGGAACACAGACAGCCTCATTTAATCCACACAGAGAACCAGAACTGTTGAGCGTCGTCCTCGTTGCTGCCGTCGTCCTCGGATTGGAGTTGTGGAGTCTGATAACCACCGACAGGTGATGGTGTCAGGATGTCTGACGGGAGGCAGCGAACTTTGTCCACCTCTGGAGAGTCTCTGTATCAGGTCCTGGCTCTGGAGAGAGGCTGCAGCCATGACGACATCAAAAAGTCCTACAGGTAAGCCCCGCCCACTCACCTGCGCCAGGTGAGATCAGTCAGCTGACACGCACTCATCCAGACTGCAGTTTGATCCACTTACTAGTTCACAGAGCTCTCGAGCACAGGAAGTGACAGTGTGTGTGTGTGGTGGCAGGAAGCTGGCGTTGCGGTACCACCCCGATAAGAACCCGGACAACCCGGAGGCGGCGGAGAAGTTTAAGGAGCTGAACAGCGCTCACGCCGTCCTGTCTGATCTCACCAAGAGGAACATCTACGACTCGTACGGCTCTCTGGGACTCTACGTGGCCCAGCAGTTCGGAGAGGACAACGTCAACACCTACTTCATGTTGTCCACCTGGTGGGCCAAGGTGGGCGGGGCTTACACTGTGTCTGTGTATGTGACTCAGATCAATCAGGAAACAGGAAGCAGTTACTTCCTCCGATTAGCAAAACGCTAACTAAAAGCCAGCTAACGATTGATGTAGATTAGTTAGCAACAGTACAGGAAAGGAAAAGTTGACGAGGTAAACTGCTCAAATGCGATTGGAGCACAGAGTAAATGGGGCGGGGCTTAGGAAGGGTCGATTTAATGTAAATTGTGACCAATCACAATCATGTATTTGAACCTCCAGAACCACCAGGGTGGCGGGTTTCTTTGTTTTTTTCAGGTCTGACTTATGGTTCCGGTCTCGTCCTCAGTGATGTAATGGATCCTAGTCTGTCTCTTGTCTCAGGGTCTGTTCCTGGTGTGCGGGGTCCTGACCGGGTGTTACTGCTGCTGCTGTCTTTGCTGCTGCTGCAACTGCTGCTGCGGGAAACTCAAGCCGACACCCACAGGTGAGGGGGCGGAGCCAGACTACTTCTCCCCTGATGACCTGGAGGAAGAGATACGCAATGACCCCGACCACGGTGAGACCACAGGAAGTCCTGGGCTTTTATTTTGATTAAGGTCTGATGGTCTTTTAAGGGTGTAAACAGGTTGTATGAAGAATGGATGATTAGCACAGTTTAAGGGATTTTAAAGCTACAACACAGATGTTGGTCTCTGATGCATTGTTTACATTAGCTGAGCTAGCAGAACTGTAGTTACACTTTAATAACATCTTCAATTGAACTTTGCTGGTTTTTTTCCCCATCATGCAACAGTGGACAGAGAGCATCAGCTATAAAGCCTATAAAACTAAAACTTCCTGCTGTTTGTCTGCAGACGTTGAAACTCCGATCGTTCAGCAGCCGACGAACGCCAGCGAGAAAACTCAGCTGATCACCGACGGACATCGCAGATATGGAGACACCTACTCATGAACCCACAGGAAACAGGAAACGCATCACTGATCCATCCACAGTGCCCTGACGGACCCCTGCAGGCAGAAACACACCACAGTCATTTACACAAACGGGCCAAAAGTATGCGGAGACACTGGTAAATATACTTTTGGCCTGACTCAGATGATCAATAAGATAATTATAAAAAATGTATTTTCATTAAGATCCAGATCTGTGGAAACACAAATAGATTAAAATCCTCATGTTTTGGTCGGTCTGGGGTCAGACTGCTACTTTAATGATTATATAAATTGCAGTGCAGTAAGTCTTTAAATCATTTTAATAAACTAACACTCTGATTGGTTGAGATGAAGGAGAGGCGGGGCTTAACACAGACCGTTCACACACTGATTATATATAACGGTTCAGTATTTTTTGTTGTTGTTGGGTTGATGTAAATAATGTTTTGGTTTCCTGTTGATTTATTTATTTGTGCTTGATGATGTAAAACTGTGAACTGAAGTCAGATTGGAAAATAAAACCACCTGTAATGACATCATGTGATTTATATGTTTCTGTGAGCAACACAGAGTCCAACACAGAGTCCAACACAGAGTCCAACACAGAGTCCACAACACAGAGTCCACAACACAGAGTCCACCACACAGAGTCCACAA